TAAATACACTTAAGTGTGAAAGCCAAGAAGGAAAGAAAAAAAAAAAGAAATGAATGGCAAGGTAAATATCATTGTATCGTTTTATGAATAGAATATATTAAAACTATAATTACAAGTGTTACCCTTATAATTTATATTTATTACAATTAACAAAACATCAGTTTTTTACCAACATTTTTCAGAATTGATTTGTTTGGATGCAACTTTTTTTGATACAAACAGCCCTTTAATTCCCACATTATCAAAGGCAAATGTATAGAATGTCTTCGCTTAATATTGGTGTTGGACTGAATTCTTACTTCTTACTAATATTATGAATGCAGAATTAGATGGACAGATGTTTGTTACAGTTTGCCACATAAACTGCTAAACAGATCTCAATGAAATTTGGCATGGATATAGAGAATTTCTGGAAGAACACATAGGGTATTTACTTCTGTTTATTTCTTATTCCAGGTCGAAGAGATATTCTCGGAGCAGCGGAGACCGGTAGTGGTAAAACACTTGCTTTCGGTCTACCCATTCTCTCCGGCATTATGAAATTAAAAGAAAAAGCTGAATCCGGTTTGAATGTGTATGAAATACCATATAAAAAGACATCAGTAAAACGGAAAGATACAAAGGAAAGAAGTAATGGGAGAATTAAAAAGAAAGCAAAAAGTTTAGAAGAGACATCAGGATATTCGAGTGGAGAGAGTGAAGTTGGAAAGGAGAATGTGAGTGAAGAATTTATAGAAGAAATAGAAGTACCAATAAAGAAGAGAGAAGTATCACTTGAAGATGGTGATAGTGATGAAGATTATGTACATTTATCGGAAATGTTAGATTCTGATGATTTAGCGGAAACAAGTGATGATGAGGCAGACAGAATCATGGTTAAAGAAAACGATGGTGAAGAAACAGATGGGATTGATGAAGTGGATGAAAATGGTAAAGAAATTTCCTTGTTTAAGACATTTATAGATTTTGATATATTTTGATATGAATGAGAGTAAAATATTAATACATTCAATGCCAAACTTTGCAAGTACATTAGAAATTGAAATAATTTTATTGAAAAACAATACATTAACAATTACAATAACAGTTATGCCAACTAAAAGATAATTACAAATTGTAGTTAATATATGATTAATCTTGTATGCCTACACTAGGCAATGCCTATATCATGGGCACCGAAAACAGCTGGAAAAATCTTTTCACACATTAATTACTAAAAACTATTATGTGAATGTTAGTGGCATTAAGTGTGTTAATTTTGTAAAGATTATTCTCAACAAATGGTTTAATTATTTTAACACTCAGGTGTTTCAATCAACTTGCAATCTACAGGTCTTGGGTTCGAATCCCGCTGTACCAATGTGGTTTTAGATTTTTTTACTTTAATATGTACATAAATTACTTAACATTCTTACTGTGAAAGATAACATCATGATGCCTGTACATGTTGGTGAAGTAATTCAAACATATGTATGAAGTCAACCTGCAGTGCAGCATGGTTGACTGGCCTAGTTACTCGATACTTATGTAGGCTCTGAGACCCTCAGTGCGGACATATGAGCTGTGGATAATGTTTATTAGTAGCCTAAACTGCTATGATTTCGATCTACAGATGTAGAAGATAGTCTGGAAGAACACAGGCAATTAATTAAGATTCTGTTTTAATTCTGCCCAGTCAGAGTCGAGAGTGATAGCTAGTGATATAAATCTATACTATTATAATAAAGCGTAAACACACACTTCTTTGTTGCCTAAGATGTCAGCAATTACAGCATATTTTTGAATAATTCCTTGTTTAATAAAAAGCCCTACACTTGTGTCACGCTTTAGGCTATATATTTTAACGCAATTAAACTTAGGCTGCAAGTATTTTGGATAAAAACCCTAATGTGGGAAAGAGACCATAAGTTGCTGCCAACATCAAGGAAGCAAGGTTGTCATCATGTCATGTCATTATGACATTTGTAATTGATAATTTGACAATTGTAAACAATAAAATAAAATTATCATAATTTCATGTGGATGAAGTCGCATGGGAACAGCTATTAAGTTTATATATGATATTAACAAAGAAACTAAAATGTTGAATCTTTATTATTTTCAGGTATAGGGTGCGTGAAAGTGATAGACAATATAGATATGCCGGGTCACATTGACGTAAGGACGGGGAAGCCATTGTATGCATTAATATTGACACCTACAAGAGAACTGGCTATACAAATCAGTCGACATTTAATAGCTGCAGCTAAATATACAGGTATGTAAGAGTAGGTTTCCACTGTTCCCATGACCCAGCCAGTGGCGGACAAGAGGAACACCGCTGGGTTTTAGTGGGTATTCCGGCCACGTCTGTTTTTTTGGCCGGCGAGTCCCACATACACTGGCAACGGGAGGGATGCGTAAAGGCATTTTCCTAGCGAGAAAAAAAAAAAGGTTTTCACTGGGTATTGGTTCAACATATCGTTTCAACATTTGTTGAATCATCAGTTGAACTAATGTATAAAGTTTTTTAATTAAAAAAATTTCGCCATAGGCCTTTTAGTCTATGATTAGTCGACCCCGGAGTGTCATAGAGTATATATAACCAAAAAATACATATGGGGTTGTAAAAAATTGAGAAAAAAGATTTTAAATTTGTCACTATTCATTGTTAAAGTTTTTTTTTTAAAGAAAATCTTATATAGAAAGTACAGTTTATTTATTTTGTATGAAAAAAATTAAAGCCTTGTTTTGATTTACAGTTATTTATGCTACTAGCTTTTGCTCGCGACTTCGTCCGCGTGGAATTAATGAAATACCAAAATAGGCAGCTTATGTGTTCTTCCAGGTTATCCTCTTAGTGTCAGATTTTATCGAGATCCGTTCAGTAGTTTAGGCTACAAACATCCATCCATCTAAACTTTTGCATTTATAATATTAACTAGCTGTTTCCGTACGACTTCGTCCGCATAGAATTATGAAAATTTTATATTGTTATGTGTCAAATTATCAATTGCAAATGTCAAAATGACATGACATGATGATAAACCACGGCAACCTTGCTTTCTTTATGTTGGCAGCAACTTATGGTCTCTTTCCCACGTTAGGGTTTTTATCCAAATATTTACCCCCTAAGTTTAATGGCATGAAATATATAGCCTAAACCGTGACGTAAGTGGCTTTTTATTAACAAAAGAATTATTCAAAAATATGTTGTAATTGCTGACATCTTAGGCAACAAAGAAGTGTGTGTTTACGCTTTATTATAATAGTATAGAAGTATAGATAAAATTTGACATGAAATTTTAAATCCTTAGGTATAAAAGTGGCCACCATAGTGGGTGGTATGGCGTCAGTGAAACAGGAGCGTGTACTCCGTTCAGGGCCGGAGGTGGTGGTAGCCACTCCTGGAAGACTATGGGAGCTTATAACCCAAGGGCAGCCTCATTTACAGCAATTATCCTCAGTTAAGTAAGTAACCTTTTTTTTACTAAGGTGACAATTCTTTTGACGAGGTATTTCCAGCCTAAACCTCCCTTATAAGTAACAACAACAGTGGTAGAGCCCGCTTTAACATCTTAGCACGAATGGGCGGGCTCGCCCCCAGTAATACCACGACCACACAGAAGACAGACGTGAAGTGGAAGCAATTCCGTGTTTCGTCTGATGAGTGTGGAGCCGGAGGCCTAATTTAAGTCCCTTTCTCTTTACTACCCTTTTCTTATAAAGAGAGGTTGGAAAGAGGAAGTGGATTTGACGGTGGAGTAGATGCATAGGAAGGGGAAATAACCTCTTGATGTGCGTCTCCTCCTCCGTCGTACAAGGGTAGGCAACGCATCTGCAATTGCGGATGTCTATGGGCAGCGGTCGCTTCGCCATTTTGGCGGTTACAGGAGGCCGCTTGCTGGTTTGCCACCTTATGTTATAAAAAAAAACTGGCGTTTCTCTCCGGCTTCTCACGGGTACAATGATCTGAAAATGTGTTTATTGACATCACAATATAAATCTCTAAAATTATCAGTATTTTTCTATATTATACTCTAGCAGTTGCTCGTGACTTTGTCTGTCTGAAATTAAAAAAATAAATAAACAAACATAGTCTATGTTACTCACTGATAACGTAGCTTATAAATGGTGAATTTTTGTAATCCGTCCAGTAGTTTTTTATTTATTTCAATACATACAAAAATACATATCTTTCCTCTTTGTTATATTAGTATAGTTTATTTAAACCTTTTTCTTGATTAACTTTATATATTAAATGAATATTTAAGAGAATGAGTATTATGACACTTTTTTTGTACAACATATTCTTTCATATTTCGCTAAAATAGCGAAACGACCTATAGACTACAGTATAATCTGAAGTAAAAAGTAGGTGTATATTTCTAAAATCATGGTAATCGTTTATCTTAGGTTTCTAGCGATCGATGAAACGGATCGTATGATAGAGCGCGGTCATTTCGAAGAGTTACAGCCGCTTCTAGAACGACTGAACGATGACGAAGCGCAGCGCAGCACGAGACAGAACTTTGTCTTCTCCGCCACTCTCACTTTAGTTCATGATCTACCTCTACATATGAAAGGAAAGAAGGTAAGATTTAAGACGTCCACTAAGGCTGTTCGCGGTATTAATATTTATTTTATTTACTAGCTTTTGGCCGTGACTCCTTCCGCGCGGAATTAAAAATCATGCATTACATATGTGTTCTTCCAGACTATCCTCTACATATGCCAAATTTCATCGAAATCCGTTCAACAGTTTAGGCTACAAACTCTAACAAACATCCATCCATCTAAATTGTCGCATTTATAATATTAGTATGAAGTGCGCAAATCTTTACTTATAAGCGGAGTCGCACCGCTAGTAGCGTTAGTGGAAAAAAGTCTAAGATCCTGTCCCACCACTGGCTGATAGAGGCTCAGATAGCTTATGACGTCACTGTCAGATAAGGTAACAAAATCCGATATTTCCATCACATACACGTTGGATTGTTATCAGACAATTTACAATTTTGTGGGACAGGCCCTTAAACTGCAACATAATAAACGGTTTATTCGATTTCTTACCCTATTTCATTTCACTAGAGTGTTACAATGTCTCAAAAAAAATAAAATTTGCTGTTTTTTTTTTCATATAAAGGTTATTTACTAGTTGTATTGTAGGTTACAAAGCGCGGGAAAATAATAAACAGAAAAATAGAGAAAATGACGCCACAACAGAAAATTAAAAGATTGGTGACAATGATTGGTATGACTGATCCTAAAGTTGTTGATATTACTACTGAAAACTTAGGTAAGTGTGAATCTATAACTATACCTCTATACTAGTCTATATCTATACTTCTATACTAGTCTATATCTATACTTCTATGTCTATACTTAGTGTAATAAAGCGTAAACACACACTACTTTGTTACCTAAGATGTCAGCAATTACAGCATATTTTTGAATAATTCACTCTTTAATAAAAAGCCCTACACTTACGTCACGCTTTAGGCTACATATTTTCACGCTATGAAACTTAGACTGTAAATAAATTGCATAAAATTCTAATGTGTGAAAGTGACCATAAGTCACGGTTTGTCATGTCATGTCATTTTGATATTTGCAATTGCTAATTTGACAAATGTAAACATTAAAATATAATTTTCATAAAGTCATGCGGATAAAGCCGCACGGGAACAGCTAGTAATATATAAGCCATAAAAGATCGATTCCTAATTAGGTTATAAACCTTTTTAATATGTCATCCGCCATTTTGTGGAGACGGCCATCTTGGTTTTGACATTTACTCCTTTATTTATTTTTAACCCATTTATCTCATTGATAAAAGATTGAGGAAATAAAAATACTACATATACATGCTAAGACAGAGAACAACAGAATAATCGAATAGACAAAAAGCCCATATATAACTACCAAGTATATAATAAATGTATAAAAATATATAAAATAATATATAACTTTGGAGTGCTGAATGGATAAGGTCTTTACTATTGGGTATTTTAATTTTAAAATGTCATCCGCCATTTTGTAGAAGCGGCCATCTTGAATTTATTACGAAAGTTTGTCAAGATTTGAAAACATATTGCTGTAAATCATAGAAAAAAAATTAATAAACAATGTGATTTTTTATAATTTTTTCTTCACGCTTTGTTCCGTTTCTAGGTGCGGCAGAAACATTAACGGAATGTCGTATAGCGTGCGCGTTAGAGAACAAAGACGCATATCTTTACTACATATTGAAGAGACATCCTGGAAGAACTATTGTGTTCTGTAATTCCATAGGAAGTGTTAGACGGTTCGTGATTTTTAAATGTCATGTTTATCATCCACTTGCCCTTATCCCTTACGGAGAGCACAGTATGTGCTGCTCTTTCATACATCTCTATCAGCCGTCATATCTGAATCCACTTCCTTAAGCATATCCTCTTTCACACAATCCATCCATACTTTCTTCTGTCTTCCTCTTCCTTTGTAGCCATCCATTCATTAATACTTTCAGGTTTATGTCCCCATCTCGTCGCATAACATGTCCATTCCACGCTAACCTTTTGCTTCTCAATTTCTCCACCACTGGCGCTACTTTCAAACTTCACCTAATGTTTTTATGTTTAATTTTAAATGTCATATTATACTTTATTTTTTTATATTATCTATATTTATATTTTTAGTCATCCACATTAAATCTTTACGTGTCTATAATTCTTGGTGACAGCTTTTTTATCTATACTTCTATGCTAATATAATAAAGCGTAAACACACTACTTTGTGACGTAAGATGTCAGTAATCACAGTATGTTTTTGAATAATTCCTTTCTTAATAAAAAGATCTACACTTACGATAAGCTATAGGCTGTATAGATTCACGCTAGGTAATTTAGGGGGTAAATAAATGTGAAAAAAAGTCACGTGAGAAAAGGACAAAAAATATAAGCCAAAAGATTTACAGAAGCAAGATTGTCATGATAACGATGATTGTTAGACAGTTAAAAATTCAGTCGTTGACATTTGAAATTTACAATTTTGACATTTGCAATATTGAACAGCTTGTGCTTCTAAGTGGGAAGGGAATTAAATTCTTTGTTTATGTCCAGATTGGCTCAGCTGTTCACATTACTGAAGTGTTCCCCGCTCCCGCTACACGCCAGTATGCCTCAGAGACAGCGATTGAAGAATCTAGAAAGGTAAATGCATAAAAAATAAAGAAAAAAACAAAAAAATATAAAAAACGTAATGAATATGCTCGAAAACATTTTTTTTAATAATACACAACAAAACCTTTCTTTCTTAATTATTTTTCTAAAAAATACTAATTGTTGACCGCGAATCTGTACACGTGTAAAAAAAATCTAGCCTTAATGTTCGTAGTTACGCCAATGCGTAGTTTTTTTTTAGTTTTTTTTAGTAGATATAGTGGTTTTCTCTGCATATTACAGGTTCCGCGACGACCCTCACGGCGTGCTGGTGGCCACGGACGTGGCTGCGCGTGGTCTTGATATACCAGATGTGGACCACGTGGTCCATTACCAGGTGCCCAAGACCGCAGAAGTAAGTCCATCTATACTAATGTTATAAAGAAGAAAAAAATGTATTTTCGTATTGAAATAACTCAAAAACTACTGGGACGATTTAAAAAAAAATCTTTCACTATTAAAAAGCTATGTTACCAATGAGAAATATTTCGTACTAGCTGTTCCCGTGCGGCTTCATCCGCATGTAAATATAAAAATTTTATTTTATTGTTTACATTTGTCAAATTATCAATAGCAAATGTCAAAATGACATGACATGACAAACCTTGACAATCTCGCTTTCTTGATGTTGGCAGCAACTTATGGTCTCTTTCCCACATTAGGGGTTTCATCCAAAATATTTACCACCTAAGTTTAATGGCGTGGAAATACATAAAGCGTGACGTAAAGGGCTTTTTATCAAAAAAAGAATTATTCATAAATATGCTGTAATTGCTGACATCTTAGGCAACAAAGAAGTGTGTGTTTACGCTTTATTATAATAGTATAGATTATTTTACAAAATTAACATTTAAACATTTTTTAATAACGTCTATTGGCAATAAAATCAAATATAACTCTATTGAGATAGCGTTAGTTCACAATTTCAATTGTGAAAAATTTTTCAAATGAAGTGTCAACTATGCCTCTATACATTTTTTGAGTTTTTTTGTACTTTTTTATAGAATTACGTGCACAGAAGTGGCAGAACTGCGCGCGCCAACAAGGAAGGTCTCACTATACTTATGATGGACTCCTCTGAAGCCTATACGTATGCTAAGCTTCGCCGGACTCTTAACAAAAGTAAGTATCATTATTGAAAATATAGTTTTTATTTGTAAGTTGTCAAATATTAAAAATATTAAGTAATTTTCTAAAAATCACAAGTTTATTTAATAAATTATTTTTTAAGAGGGAATATCCACTCTATACTTTCGTGATTTTTTGAATCGATTTTTTTATTCAATTATTAAAAAATAAAAAGAAAAATGAAAAAAATAATCTAATAAATATAAAATATTGCCATGATTCTACCAATTTTAGTACTAGCTTTTCAAACTACACGTGTGATTAAAAAAAATACAAAACTATGTGTTCTTCCAGACTATCCCTTACATCACTGTCAAATTTCATCGAAATCTATTCAACAGTTTAGGCTAAAAACAAACATCCATCCATACTATATTTCTTACTGATATTATAAATGCGACGTTTAAATGGATGTTTAGAATTTAGCCTAAGCTATTAAACAGATCTCAATTTAAATCGATATATAGAAAATAACCAGTAAAATGTACTGTTTTTTTTCACGCGGGGTTTGTCAAAAGTAAATAATGTTATTTATGTGACTTAGCAACGGAATTACCAACGTTCCCTGTGGAGGAGCGCAATATGTCGAATATACGGGAGTTGGTGCGCGCGGGCCGCGAGCTAGACGCGCTGCTGCTGCGGCGCCGCCGCGGGGCGCAGGCCGAGGGCTGGCTGGAGAAAGCCGCCAGGGAAATGGACATCATCATCGATGATGTGTATCCTTTTATATTGAACTAGCTTTCCGCGACTCCGTCCGCGTGGGATTAAAAAAACAAAAGTGAGTAGCCAATGTGTTCTGTAGACTATCCTCTACAACTATACCAAATTTTATCGAAATCCGTTCAGTCGTTTAGGCTACAAACATCCATCCATCTAAACTTTCTCATTTATAATATTTATGTTGAATTGGGTGATGGTTGTCACTTTTTTGTGTGATCAATGGTGGTGTAGGTAGATTGATTATTTTTGTGTCAAGATATCATAATATGGACATGCCAGTTTATCCATAACTAGCTGTTCCCGTGCGGCTTCATCCGCATGAAATTCTGAAAGTTTTATTTTATTGTTTACAATTGTCAAATTATCAATTGCAAATGACAAAATGACATGACATGACAAAACTTAACAGTCTTGCTTCCTTGTTGTTGGCAGTAACTTATGGTCTCTTTCCCACATTAGGGTTTTTATCCAAAATATTTACCACCTAAGTTTAATGGCGTTAAAATAAATAGCCAAAAGCGTGACGTAAGTGTAAAAGAAAGAATTATTAAAAAATATGCTGTAATTGCTGACATCTTACGTCACAAAGCAGTTTGTTTTTTTCGCTTTATTATATTAGTCTAGACAGGTGATTAGAGGGTGATGATTGTCACTTTTTTGTATGCGTATATAATAATACAATATAATATGGACATGCCCTTATCCTTAATATTCGGAAAGTCCCGGAAAAAAATCCGCGATTTGAACTATGGAATAAAGTAAAATAAAATCTAACTAAAACATTTTTGTATAGCAAATACTAGTAGATTCCTATCAATGTCGACTTTAAGATCTTTGTAACTCTATATTTCTATATTCGATTTTAATAAACTTCACTCGAAACCACAGACCGAGGAAGGAAATAGATCCATCCATAGACAAAACTTTGAACATAAAGAAGAAACAGCTGGAGTCTTTATTGTCAAGGCCAATATTTCCTAAAGGATTCTCCTTCAAATTCCCAACACTTAATACAATGGAACCAGAAAAGACGAATGAAAATGCTTTGCAGGTTAGAATTTTTTTTTTTTATAATATAAGATGGTAAACGAGCAAGCGGTCTGAATCCACCGAAATGGAAAGTAACCGCTGCACATAAACATCCGCAATTACAGCGCTGCCTACCCTTCATTGACGGAGGAGTCGCACATAAAGGGGACATTTCTCCTTCCTATGCATCTCCACAGTCA